TACATAGACTCGCCCATAGGTAGCAAGTCCTGTGTTGGTTGCTCTTCAGCAACTGACACTGGACTATAGGTATAGTACACTCATTAGTTTATACAACACAATAGCAACTGACACTGGACTATAGTCCTGTTCACTCTCATTAGCTCACTTGTGGCTTGGTTCACTTGGTTATTCTAACATGGATTCCCACGGGCAAGGGCTCAAATTTACGCCCCAAGGGAGTACTACAGAGTACCCCACTAGCATAACCTTGGTCTACCTGTCCATTCATATACAATAATGTAAATAGTGAAAATAGCACAAACATGTGGACAGTTTTTTGAGCCACTGTATATCCTTGGTACATAGCTTTACTGTTACAGTAACATGAGCGTTACACATTGTTTCATTCTTCGGACTCGTCCAGACCTAGACCATGGTTATGACTATTCTATTTTCATCCCTTCTTTTGATCCCATTGTTCTGAAACACGAGAAGCTCTCGCTTCTACCCCTAGATCAGAGAAGCCTCAGCTTCTACCGAACCCTATGCCCTTCCCACTATTTTGGTTCCCTCATTGATGGGGATTCCCCACACCCTTTGCCCTTACCGTTCAACCAGTACTTCTTACCCCTTTATACTTATGACTCACACAACCCTTGACCCTTACCACTAACTCGGTATTGCCTCCGCTTACCCTGTACCCTTACCATTCCACCGGTACATCACCCTTACATATATATATATCCCACTTGTACAGTAGACAGATTCTCTAACTTGAATCTACTCGGTTCTCATCTGATCTTGTCATTGGGTCTGAACTTCTCTTGCCTAAAGAGAGCTCCCTCTGTACAAAGAACCATCTTCTCTTGAGACAATACTCTTGAGTTAAACTCCGTCTCTTGGATCATATCCTTGAGAAGCTTCAATCAACTCTACGCAAGTAAGGGCCTCAACCCTTACTCAGACTTAGCGCAGGCAAGCTCCTTGCTGGGCTAGCGCCGAAGGCCACGCTTCGAACACCCCTTGTGGGTTTAGCACCGCCAGATCTCATCCGAGAGGTTATGCGTAACATTTACTACATAGTTATCCTGATCACTGCCTCATACATAGAAGTATATAACATATCCTGTACTTAGATATTTTTCCTCAGTCTTAATATTACTTGTCTTCTCGCAGTTACATCTTGTGAGAATTCTCAGTAGGACCTTGCCTCCTCTGGACACAAGTCTCAACTTGTTGTCACCTCTGACCCTCTGACCCTCTGACCCTCCACTCCGACTGAGAGCCGTGCTCTAAGTCTTTCCCTTATACTCTGCCCCTATCAACTATTCCCCCTTGTCCCTCCACATTATCCTCCGCCTTTCTGCCCCTACCAAACATTCCCCCCGCTCCTATCCACCCTCCACATCACTCCCCCCTTCTCTGCTCCGCTCCTAGTCAGCCCACCACTAGTAGCCCTTACTCCCCGACCCTCAAAGTGGACCAAAGCAGACCACTCATTCTACCATCAGACAATGTTGGACCCGCTCCAAATTCGGGGCACGTACTGGGCTAAGGGCGCAGTGCAAGAGCTAAAGCCAAGCCCCAACCCCTCTGCTTCCTGAGTCGGCACTGTACCTAACAACAACCTTCAATGAGAGTATGACATCGTCAATCCTCAGATGCATTCTGACGTCGTGCTCCTTTCTGGTGAAACGAAACCCCAACATCCCTACTGGTATGCCCACGTTCTGGGCATATTTCATATGGATGTTTGCCTCAACATTGAAGGTTCAATGAAAATGCACCAGATTGAAGTTCTCTATGTTAGATGGCTCTGTTAGTTGTGGTGATTGAGCACCTTATGGTGCGAGCTATTTGTGTTATGATGTTGCTTCCTCTATTGGACTCTCACTTAGCATGTGATGTGAATTCCTTACTTACTTAGGCAGTGTTTACACTTGTTTACATAGACTCGCCCATAGGTAGCAAGTCCTGTGTTGGTTGCTCTTCAGCAACTGACACTGGACTATAGGTATAGTACACTCATTAGTTTACACAACACAATAGCAACTGACACTGGACTATAGTCCTGTTCACTCTCATTAGCTCACTTGTGGCTTGCTTCACTTGGTTATTCTAACAGTTACATCTAGTTTACAATCCATTAGAATAGAGCTTGTTTAAATTAAATTAACACACAAGACATACCAAGACCCAGTCCTCCATGTACACCGCCCATGTAGTAAATGCCGTCAGCACACAACAACTCCCTCTGATGTTCAAGGAGCGGCAAGTTGTCTTCGTCAACATTACCATAAACTATCGGCAGCAGCAGCTGTTCGGCAAGTTGGATAGAGTGAAGCAAATCTAAGTAGATGTGCCAAGCTGATTGGCAGGTGACTGGAGGCTGACCAAGATCATTGTAATGATGTTGAGCAGCCATGGGATGAACACCCATCTAAATACCATGACCTGAAGCACATTATCAATGTCATACCAACTGCTCACCACGCCTTCATCCAATAGTGATTCAAAACCAGGAGTAAAACACCAGTGCAACTTGGACCAGGCAATTCTGGGCATAATGTTCTTTTTGGTCCACATCCACCGGTGTTGCAATGTGCCATGCAGTGATGAATCGTACATTTGGCACAGCATTGTGTGCACAATAGTGATTCCGTAGTCCTCAGATCCTGGGTTGCTTTGTGTAATCATTGGAATGTCTGTCATAAATCATTGAGTGAATAGCACAATGGGGATCAGTTTGAATAAACTTATGACCTAGCTTTTCAATTGTGTCAAGATGGTATGTGAGTATAAGTTGAGGGTTGCGGTTCGAGTGCCAGACTCATATCCACATGATACGGCCTGAGAATGGCTCTATTCCTGTGTGGAGTCCAAGACCAAACTGAAGCCATTTGTCATGCTGATCGACAGTGAACAAGTCGTTCACACCAGCAGCCCAGAATTGTCTCCGCTGAAGCCGACGGGCTTTCCACTGATGCACCAGGTCTGCCTTGTATGCAGCAAAGTATGAAATGACCACATTCCTGTGATTTTCTGGTCAAATTCACTGCAGGTCAGTAGGAAACGAATCAAATACCGTCACACACTCATATCCTTCTCATGAAAGAGCAGTGAGACCATTTCTCGTGCACCAGCATTTGGATACGCCTTGTGGAGGTCCATCATGTTGTCACGAATGGACTCAATAGAGTGGTTCTGCTGCCGAGTACGCTGAAGACCCATGGCATTACGTATCTCCTTGAACTTTGTAATACTGTGCGCGCAACAGATTGTTAAGATACAATAACAATTAGTAACATTCAACTGACCCTATTCCATAGCGGGATGTATCAATGACCTTCCACAAGTTTTCAACGATCATCTTGTCAGTCTGACAGGCTTTCCACAAGTGCAGCATGTGAGGTGTAATTTCCTCAAGAGGTGCTACCAGCACAATGTTAGTTAGACTGACATCACCGAAAATCAAAAGTCCACGTACAAGTCGGCTTCCATTGGTTAGGCATGCCAGGATGTTCAGAGTGTAGACAAGTGAGTTCCATAGCATTGAGGCTCTTTTAAGTGCACCAGGATTGTGCAATTCCGAGTCAGATAGAGTTTCAGATAGAACATCGGATAGAGTCTCAGATAAGAACAAATGGAAGTGCGCCAGGATTGTGCAATTCCAAGTCACATAGAGTCTCAGATAAGAACAAATGGAGTTACTCAGGCGACTCAGGCAGAGTTTTGGTCCAATAAATAAGTATTATGAAGAACGAGAAGAACAAATGGAGTTACTTGGGCAACTCAGGCAGAGTTTTGGTCCAATAGATACTCGGGCAACTCAGGCATGGACTCAGGCAGTGCAAAGAATGGAGCTTGTATTCAGATAGATGCTCAGGTACTGCTGAGAACAACATGATATAATGAATGAACTTCCAAATCATGAACTGCAGGATTGCCCACTCCCTGGTCGGCAATGAATTTCCCTGCAAGTAAAAATTGCGAACTGCGGGATTGCCCACTCCCTGGTCGGCGATGAATCCTGCAGGGCAGTTCCCAACCTGTTCTTTGGGAAGAATCCACTGTAACAAATCCTGCAGGACAGTTACCAGACCAGTCAGATGCTCAGGTGCCACTGCACACTGCTGAATTGCCCACTCCCTAATTGGCAATAAATCCTGCAGAATAGTCAGGAGAGTAGAGGGTACATACCAGTAAGTCAAACATGCACACGACAAATTGGAACATGATGAGTCGGAGCATGTTATGGACTAGAAGTATAAAGTATCAGTTAGTCGGTGCCATCCAAGTCAACCCTTAGATCCTTACCATGGAACTTGTCTCCCAATTTACAGAGGACGCTGTTGCCCAAGAAGACTGTAACTGCGATAGACTGGCTTGCCGTTGGTGCATAGTCAAGAATGACCCATGTCATTATGTCGCTAACATGATTCCCAGCCAGCCAGGTCGCTTCGTGTGTGAAACATGTTACATAGGATATCAGCAGAAGATTTCATCATCAGTCCGACCTTCAGGTGAGTACAATAATTATATTGACTAATTATGATGTTAAATTTGTTCAAATGTCTCAGGTCAGTGTGCACCACTCATTCAAGCTACCCAGAGCATGCAGAGGCCTGGTATGAGTCGTCTTCCGGATCCTCAAATCATACATCAAAGTGTGAATGATGCACAGAGGAAATGAGAATTTTTTTGGACAGTGCTCATCCAGAACATTGACTTATTTACTAGCTACAATAAATCCACCCCATGTGGTTCCATTCTCTCAATTGTCAGGCAGTAGCATCAGTCAGACTAGCACACCAGGACCAGATATTCTGGTGCCATCATCCTGGCAACATTCACAGAGCTTAGGCCAGCACAGGGTTGCTGGCGCTGCAGGATATTCTCTCCACCATGCACAATATAGTTCAGAGTGTGAACAGTGGGCAAAGCTTTCATACGCTCCACCTCTGGTGGAAACTATCACCTTGGAGATTTCAGCAGTCCGTGAGGGGAACTCACAGAGGAAAGCTGGGCACAGCATAAACATTGCTGTTCGTTCTCTGGCTTTTCTGTAATCCTGATCTGAATTCCTTGCAGAACATCTGTGAAGGCAAGAAGGATGTTGATGCCTGGATTGACGCACCTGGACTCATCGCTCTTGCATTCGACATGGTCACTCCCAAACTCTTTGTTTTTGGAAATGGGTTTCCATGGCGCACCAACGAGTTCACTGTCCAGGATGCCGCTTGGGTCGATCTCTCCACCCACCAGCCCAATGTCCCTTATTTTTTCTCCCAATGTTTAGTCCCTTCTCGACATGGGCAAAAAGCGCCAACATTTAAATCCAAGCAGTTTGCATTAGCCATTATTATACCAGCGGTGCAGTGAGTTGAGTATGAGGAGTGGCTAGAGAAAATTGAAGAGGTAAGTCAACAGCTTCTCAATGGCTCATACTAACTACTATCTACTATCAGCATCGTTATTGTTAGTCTGTGGCTCAAGACTTGCCTACTGCTACTTCGACAACTTATGACTTTGGGGGCGCCGATGACAGGAACAGTATCAACGACTTTGATGACAGGAACACTATTGATGACTTTGAGGATGGGAATGAGCCAGAAGGTGTGAACTCAAATGACTGGGAAGGTACCAGCAATACGGAGTCTGGGAGTTCCAAAGACTTGGACTCAGCACAGGATCATTGGGCACCTTCTCTCTCAGCAAAGCGGATGGACTCAGCACAGGATCGTCAGGCACCTTCTCTCTCAGCCAAGCGGACACATGTCCGAGCAGAGAGTGATTCTCGCTTAAGCACTGTATCGCCTCCTCGCAAGAAGGCTGCAGCCACACCATTATTTGTTAGTTGTGGTGATTGAGCACCTTATGGTGCGAGTTATTTGTGTTATGATGTTGCTTCCTCTATTGGACTCTTACTTAGCATGTGATGTGAATTCCTTACTTACTTAGGCAGTGTTTACACTTGTTTACATAGACTCGCCCATAGGTAGCAAGTCCTGTGTTGGTTGCTCTTCAGCAACTGACACTGGACTATAGTCCTGTTCACTCTCATTAGCTCACTTGTGGCTGGGTTCACTTGGCTATTCTAACATTATTGTCCAAAGGCTTGGATGCACTGTGCCTCCCTGGCCGTGACTCTATGAGAGAGGCATTGAAGTATGGAGGCAGTGCGAATCTAGACGTAACCAGTAAAGGTGAGTGATTCATCGTTGTTTCAACACACTGAACTTCATAACAACTTGACAGTCTTCGACTGGCACCACGAAGATATTGAATATTATCCAATTCCAACCTGTTCGCTCACTGAAATCCTGAAGACACCGCAATACCACACATTTGAACTCAACATTTCAGACTCGCATATCAGCCAACTCACGATTGATGTTCCCCTCCACAGTATGATAGGGATTGGCGCTTTCAAAATGGCTCATCCTGGATGGCTTACTCTATCCCCCATTGTTTCTAGTGGTCTTGGATCGCGTTCTCAGTATGGTGTGGTCGTTAAGCGACCATTTTTAGGGTCCTGCCAACAAGTCAGGCCACCACTGCCACCGCATCACTCAAGATCGTGCGATATTTGTCAGTGGACAAGCTGAAACATGTCCTGAAAGAAAGCATTGTCATGTACTGGGCAAAGTTGCTGCTCAACTACACTTATGATTACATTGACCACCATATCAGCACTTCACCAACACCTCTGCCCTTTGAGATTCCTCGTGTGCGTTTCGTTGATGCTGGTGTTGCTTTGGGGTATGGACAGCGCAGTGCCAGCTCAAAACCAGGAGAAAAATCAAACACAAAGGCAGGAACAGTTTCGGCTGTTTATCTTCTTGAAGAGCACATCTTGTTTGATGACAACCAGGAGTTTACCAAATTCATTCACAACATGGATTACATGCCTTCTCTCGACGAGGATCAATATGGCTATGATTTAGCCGTTTTCCTTGCATTTACACAGCACATTCAATACATGCAGACTGAAGGTTTGGCATTTGTGTCCGATTATCAAGGTATTCACCACAGGGCACTCATTTCACTGAGACTGACACAAATTTAGGGAGTTTGACACTTCTAATGGACCCTCAAATCATGACTCATCCATGCGTGTTTCATATACTATTCATTCATTTCAATGATCTTTTTCTTGGACAGGTCCGTAAATGATGGAGATGACATCTTTGGGGGCAGGAATATTGAGGGCATAGTAGATGAGTTCGAGCGCAAGCATTCTTGCAACCATTACTGTAGATGGCCAGGACCACATGTTGGACTGCATTTTCAAATGCATGTCCCAATACAAAGCCCTTTCACAACAAAGGCTGGAAACACTTCAATAAGATGGATGATATTTTGCGCATGCAGATCTCATGCGGCACCAATGCTTTTCATGCAGGCCAGGAAACCTTCCAATCACAACACAATTCTCACGACATCAGGAGTGATGGCCTGGGCGTTGATGTTATTGAGAATGAGCCCGCATCACCTGTGATGGGAGACCTGGGGAACTTAGCGGTTGAAGGAGATGTCGAGAGGATTGCAGAGAGAGACTCAACTGGGCTGGATGACAATGAAGAAGATATCATTCCTTGGGAAGCAACACCTCCTTCAAAATGAAAATTTGCGGCCATGTCTTTGACTCCATGTCTTACCCCTTCTGGATCGTGTCCTTCTGGTTTGCAATCGAAATGTCAGCATACCAGCGGATCAGCCAATGCACTCTATGCAATAAATGATCAATTTTCAGAGTTCACTAATGTCTTTCGTGTTGCAACACAATCGGAAAAATCAGCTATGGCCTGATCACCTCAGCGCAAGCAGGCAGCAATGTGGTGTGCTCAACTGTTAGTTGTGGTGATTGAGCACCTTATGGTGCGAGCTATTTGTGTTATGATGTTGCTTCCTCTATTGGACTCTCACTTAGCATGTGATGTGAATTCCTTACTTACTTAGGCAGTGTTTACACTTGTTTACATAGACTCGCCCATAGGTAGCAAGTCCTGTGTTGCTTGCTCTTTAGCAACTGACACTGGACTATAGGTATAGTACACTCATTAGTTTATACAACACAATAGCAACTGACACTGGACTATAGTCCTGTTCACTCTCATTAGCTCACTTGTGGCTTGCTTCACTTGGTTATTCTAACATCAACTTCTAGAAACTCATCTCGACGACGATAGCAATGTTGGGGCTGCTGACGCATATATGGTCATGTCTGACAAAGGGCCCAGGAGGTCTTTTGTTGACTGCAAGATCAAACATATCAACCAGTAGAATATCTAGGTAGTATGGGCATTGTGTACTCATATTGTCGTGTCCTGACGAGCGCGACACACTCTATGATAATCCCTCCACATAGCATCTGCAATATGATCTCTGTCCTCTGTCACCTTTTGCCTTTCAGTACAGTCTGCCAGTCCTTCAGCAAGGTCACCCCTTGGCCTGCCTGGATCAAGGTCCACAAGATCCTCGATGGTGAATTCTTCTATTTCCTTTGGATTGAAAACCCAGATGAAGTTGTGAATGGCACAAAGTGCTGGGGGAATTTAGGCTTGTGTTGACATGCTATATTCTGGTGGATGTACGAGTATCATGAACCGCCTCTTGAGAACACTGAATATTTGCTCAATCACATTTCGAGCCTGAGCATGCCAAAGGTTGTATATTTCTTTTGAATCCTTCGGCCTGTCATCCATGAGAAAATCAATAGTTTGAGTGAAAAGTAGTAAGGGCACAAATCATCAGGTGTTTCATCAACACCATAGGACAAGCTGGAGTTATAGTAACTTGAAGATGTATGCTATCTCATATGTGACCAAGCAAAGGTAGGATCAAGGGTCTATTTTCAAGCTCATAGATCTGGCCTAGTGCAACTTGAATGAGCATAAGCTCAGCATCTGTCACATCCAGATACTTGTATGCTGCCTCTGAAGGACCAGACATTAAAGGAAAGGGTGATTCAGCAATATCCAATCTGTGCTTGAGCTTGCCACAGTCAAAGATGAGCAAGAGCTTTGCCACGCTATGGTTGATTGAGGAGCTGTGAATGCAATTAATGTTCCAACTCAAAGTTGATCACAAGTAAATAAGGAGAATACATAGTGAGATCTGTGTGAAATCTGGTCTAGATGATCAATATGCCAAAAACAGCTGCAAACAGGACATCACTGAGTGGGACCTAGACTTACACTCAATGGGCTGGTTGCCATCTGAGCAGGAGCCTCCTGGTAGTTATGCCTGCTCAATAACAATTATAAATTATAATTGTCAGTCTGCTGCACTCCAGTCAAAGTACAAATTTACCTTTTGGGCTAATGATGAAACTCAGTACAATCATAGTGTTATCCAGCTCTCATTCAAATCAGTAGAAAGAACATATTGAAACATATAACAATCCTGTACATCTTGAAGAAGCTTGACAATGTGCACAAAACTTCCTCCTTTTTCAAGATGGTATTGTATGTGGTTTGATGCAGAAGCAAAATCAATGATGTTCCAAATGAAAGTATTCTGCAGAGCTTCAAGAAGCATACCTTTCCTAATGGTGGCACAATATATAAGACTTCTATTCAATGAAAAGAGGGGTATATACCATTGGCACATGACTCTTCACAGCCAAGTCCTGCATCAGGTTTGAGCAGGAGCCTTGCATATCTAAGATCAATCTCAGATATTGCCACAACTACTTCCACTATTAGTATACATCCATCATGCATAAGCTGCTTCTAAGCCCTTCTCACTAACTGATGACTTCAGAAAGAGCACTAGAAGATAGGAAGTGAGCATAAATAATGGGAATGAAAATGGCAGTGTACTAGATAATTTTCCAATCGTCATGGGAAGTACCAGGTGTGACACAACCCACTTGAGACCAGCCCTCCATGTTTACCAAGATCGTAGCCTTTTCAGTGTATGCTGCAGCAGGCAAGCCAACATGAGTGAGTGAGGCTCCAAGATCTGCTTTGTATGGTGCAGCACTTAGTTTGAGAGTGGGAGGATGGTGTAATTAGTATTTGAAAGTGTGAGACTAAATGTGGAGGTGACTGAACAAGCTGCACTTGCACAGCAGGATGATTTGTGAGTGTGGATGTGTGTTGAAGACAAGAATTGAAAGGGTTGTGTTTGGACTACTGTGCCTAAATAGGAAACGGGTCACTTAGCCTTAATTTATGATTTTGAGTACGATGATGGAGTATTGTGACAGAAAAAGTACATAGAATGAGAGAAAACAATTCTGGCTATCATAATCATATATTGTCAGAATTTAGAGAAGTGTTGTGAGGGTCTACAAATGTTTTGCCAGAGGGTCTCAGTTTTGGTCAAAACCAGTGTAGCGAGTCAGCTGCCGGCAATCTCCAGTACCTGCCGGCAATCAAGGTTTTAGGTGTTGACAAGTGATCCGTCACACAGGCTGCCCTTTATCAACAATCACAGAGTCCGCATTGGCTGCAGCTGCAGCATGAGCATCATCCTCACCATCAAGGACACTTTTCTGAACATTGGTGGGACTCTGGACCTGGACAACATGGAGGTGCAAATCAGGCAATGGGTTGTTCACTCGGTGCAGGATGGGTCGAGGACGAGGGCGAGGTCGGATATTTGAGGGCTGAAGAGGTTTGAGGGTGTTATCATCGATGAGGTTGAGATTTTCTGAGCCGTGATTAAGTGAATCTTCATTTTCACTTTCCACAGGTTGTTGACAAATGGTTTTTGATGCTTTCTCCAGCTGCTTGCGTTCTTTCTCCGCTCACGCTGCAATTTTGCTCTCGTGTGCAATCCATTTCTTCTCCTCTGCATCTGCTCACTTGGCTGCTGCTGCTGCAGAACACTTTGCCTCGACTGTGGCTTTCTTTGCAGCTGCTTCTTCAGCCTTGCGAGCCAACACCAGCTCGCGCTTAGCTGCTTTTTGAGCATCTGCGATGCACTTTGCAGCAAGTGTCATCACAGTTTTGACAGCTTTTGTTGCCTCCTTTGCAGCTGCACGTTGGTCATGTTCCTCTCTCCGTCATAGGTCTTCTTCAGCCTTTTTGTGATCTCGTATTACCTGCCGAATTCCTCTGAACTTTTTCGCAGCCTCGGTGTGAACAACCTTGATGTTCGCGGTCCAGTTGGCTTTTGCAAGGGCATCAAGCATATCATTACAGGTCATGTGGCGAGAGCCTGAGCCACCTTCCCTCCGTGGGCTGTTCTGCTTCTGCCCAAACAACTGCTGTCGCAACCGTCCATTTTTGGCTTCCATCAACTTCTTCATGGCATAGTCGGCCTCCATCTGCACTCATCTGACTTCCCACTCTTTGGCCACCTTTCCCACACTTCAGACTTGAGCCTACTGCTCTCATACATCTGTCCTCTTTGTTTCTGCTCTGCTTTTGACTTTGTCCAAGCAGTCTTATCTGCTCCATTTCTACTGTTGGTTCCAACTGCAGTTGTCCTCTGCCACTCTCCTGTTGGGTAGACCAATCCCTGCACAACTTTCCCGCCATCATCTGGTAGTCTGTCGGCCCTCCTTCAGAGAGCCTCCGCTCTCATGTCATGTCAGAGCTTGTAGAAACTCGTGTTGGACTACACTCCAAAATTAGCGGCAGGTACTTGGGTAAGGGGCATAGCACACAAGCTGAAGCCAAGCCTCTCAGACTCTTCCTTACCCCTGAGCACAGTCTTAACAGAGTTGCAATATGGAATGACCACCAATACCTAACTCTTGGGTAAGCATCTTCTATCTTTGATGATCACCCCCTTATTAATCCCTCTATTCAATTCAAAGTGTGTTAATTATATATCTGACCATTATTGCCTGCCTGCCTCCTGGCCTCAGCTTCCTTATGCATGTAATTCAGGTACTTTTACAAGCTGTTAGGTACCGTGCTGGCTCAGGAGGCAGAGGGGTCAGGGCTTGGCTTCAGCTCTTGTGCTGCGCCCTTAGCCGAGTATGTGCCCCAAATTTGGAGCAGGTCCGACATTGTCTGATGATAGGACAAGTGAACCGTTTCGGTCCGCTTTGAGGGTTGGGAAGTAAGAGCTACTAGCGGCGAGCCAACTAGGAGCAGAGCGGAGAAGGCAGGGAGTAATGCGGAGGGTGGATAGGAGCAGGGGAAGGTTTGGTAGGAGTGGGGAAGGCAGAGGATGGGAAAAGGGACAAGGAGAATATTGATAGGGGCAGAGGAATAAAGGAAGCACTTAGAGCATGGCTCTAAGTCAGAGTGGAGGGTCAGAGGCGACAACAAGTTGAGACCTGTGTCCAGAGGAGGCAAGGTACCTGATCTGACCGCTCCGATATTGATATCTGCTCCGCTTTCCGACCACCTCCGCACCATCCATCCTCCACTCTGTCCAATCACAGTCCACATTCCGCTTCTACGCTTCCGCTCGACCACCCAACCGGTCCCCTTCCATAACATCTCCATTCAACTGGATCCGCTTTCCCCTTTTGGATATATACTTCCCCCTTCAGTACATAGACCATTACTTCCGGATCACCAGTACATTCCTATTACCGCTTGATCACTGATCCGCTCTGACTTATGTCTTTGCCTGTGTAAGTACTTACAAATTATATCCTTGGTACATAGCTTTGCAACATAGTTATCCTGGTCACTGCCTCACACTTAGAAGTATATAACATATCCTGTACTTAGATATTTTCCCCAGTCTTAATATTACTTGTTTTCTCGCAGTTTCTACTTGTAAGAATTCTCAGTAGGACCTTGCCTCCTCCAGACACAAGTTTCACCTTGTTGTCACCTCCGACCCTCCGCTCCGACTTAGAGCCGTGCTCTAAGTCTTCTCTTAACTTCTCCGCCCCTGTCAAGTATTCCCCCTGCTTCTTGCTGCCCTCTGCATTATCCTCCACCTCCTCCGCTCCTATCAAGTATTCCCCCAGCTCCTTTCCACCCTCCCCATTATCCTCTGTCTTCTCTGCTCCGCTCCTAGTTGGTCCGCCACTAGTAGCTCTTACTTCCTAACCCTCAAAGCGGACCCAAGCGATCCACTCATCCTATCGTCGGACAACGTTGGACCCACTCCAAATTCGGGGCATGTACTCGGCTAAGGGCGCAGTGCAAGAGCTGAAGCCAAGCCCCGACCCCTCTGCTTCCTGAGCCAGCATAGTACCTGACAAATTGTTTAATTTGTGTCATGTGTCAGCATGAAACATTGTCAAGCATATCTTTGGCGTTCTCAAGCAACATTTTTGGATACTACTTCTGTCACCCATATATTCTATGGAGGTACAGGCCCACATTCCCACCACTATGTGCTATAACATACATGACCCTAGTGAGGGTGATCCTCCTGCTGACAATGAAGACAAAGAAGATGGATTTTCAGAGGATGGTCTTGGCACTGATGTGATTGCCGAAGGTGATGTGGCAGCTGTTGAAGAGGATGATGAGCATGAATGACGTCAAGGAGCTGCAATGCATGATCAGATTGCAGCAGTGATGTGGACACAGTATCAGCGTGTTGTACTGGAATGTGGTTTAGAAGGGCTTGATGTCACAGAAGAGAATAATGATAATGAGGATGCTGTTGACGATGACGAGTGATATGTAGTCTACTTCAATTCAACTGATCAAATGAATAATTGATATGCATGACAAATATTCGGTATTGTACAAAGTAGTGACGCAGCAACAGCATGATTGAAAGAACAAACAACAATTGGGCGACTCAGCCCATCATTTCAGGATCATCAGCATCATGCGCCCCTGCATCAGCCCCTGCATCAACTGGCTGGTTAATCAGTTTCACCACAAATGCACACCTCCCGCTCTTGTCCTGGAGGTTCATGTAAAACTTCAGATAATGTTTGTTACCCTTCAAGCCAAGGATAACAATCAGTGCAGCCTGCTGGTCTGGTGGTATATCAGAGTCCTCCCCTTCTAAGATGTGTATGCCCAGTCAGAGGCTACTCCAGGCTTAGCCACATATATACAGTGACAATACATATGTATACACAGCAGTACAGAAAATGGTTGATCGGTACAGCTGGACTTTTAATATATGTAGCGACACATCCAAATAATAACCATGGTGCCAATTCAGGCTGCCACTTGTAGTAGCCTACATCACCATTGAATCACACAGACAACTCATTGACCTTCTCTTGACAATCTGCATGCCTCCAGAACGCACATAATGCAAGTACTACTGCTCTTGCATCAGAAAATGTGGTGGTGTTGAGAAAGAAGTCACTAGAAGTGCATACCACTCCCATGAAAAAAATTGTCTAGAGGAAGCAGCTTTGAGCTCAACAAGTACCTCTAGCCTTGCCGGCACAGCAAGACAAGCTCGATTCCATGTCATGTCAATCTTCATCTCCATCCCCAGTATGCGAGCCAATTCATGCAAATGAGGACATGAGACATCCAGTGCCAGAGGATTCCTACCTAGTAGATGAGAGAGACTGTCGTGATCGCTTCGCACAGTTGCAAAACATCTTCAATCATGTGAGTTCGTTCATTGCCATGAGACATACTAAGTTCACACCTCCATTAGGAACTACAGAACTCAGATGAGCACACTCAGATGAACGACGGTGAAGATCACAGTGCCCATACTAGCTTTTCACAAGCTCCATCTGTTGAGGATATTCCAGATGATGAATTCCACGTCCCAGAGCCTCTTGACGCTGATGAAGAGGTTCTTCAAGATGATATCTATGCCAATATCAAGCGTGCAGACTTACGGGCATCTCTCGCATATATTCTCACACTTCAGAATGCATCATTAGATGACCCCGGCACTGGTCTCAGTCCAGACGCCATCGAGAGACTCAAGAATCTACCCAACTACAATGACCCTGAACTCAGACTTGCTATCTGTCTGTACCTGGCACTCAATAACGCCGACAATGATTACACAAAAGCAGTCTCTGCTATCAACGAGTACAATGATGCTGAGCTCCCTTCACATCATCAGTCGCAGATCACCGGAGTCGAGGAAATGAAGCACAATATGTGCATCAACACTTGCATTGGCTTCACTGGCCCTTTTGCATCTCTCAATCACTGTCCGGAGTGTCATGAGGAGTTCCAACATGCTTTGGTTCTGACATTATGCACTTATTATCACTCAATATCCCCAACCTCTTAATCCCTCTCTGGCGTGGGACATTTGAATGTGACAAGGACAATGATAATCCACTTGGACGTGGGCAGTTTTGGTTGGCGATGTTTGGAAGGAGTGTTGGTAGATTTGTTGAGGAGTCCACATCACACCTTCCCGGGTGTTTTGACCATCTTTGGAAGCAGTTTGGTAGATTTGTTGAGGAGTCCACATCACACCTTCCCGGGTGTTTTGACCATCCACCCTGAAATCCGAGAAGAAGATCAATAGTGGCTACAAAGCATGGGAGTTTACACTACTCCTCTATGGC